TAAAATTAATTAAAATCTATGTATTATAAAATATTATTAAATACTTACTAAATTTCTTGCAATTAATTTTTTAACTAAGTATCCAACATAGTTATTTTTTCGTATTTTGGGTTGAGCATTATTTGATTTATGGCTATAGCATATGCTATATTTTCAGGTGAAGTATCTCTGAAAGGCCAAATTTTATTTAAAATTTGAGTCATATAAGTCTTATCTGAATTGTCAATCTTATTAAAAAGCATCTTGTAGCATGCTTTAGTTTTTTCTGATCTCTTCTAGTTTAGTACAGTTTCTAGTGAAGCTTTATTATTTATAGATTCTAAAAGATTTCCAAATATGAAAAATATAGAAGCTTTAATCTTATTTGTTAGTGTACCCTGCAAAGATCTAATTTTTTCCAAAAGCTTAAATACAATAATTTAGTAAAAATTTAAAATATTAAAATAATATGGGATGGGGTCCCGTAGCCTAGTGGTCTAGGCATCCTCCCTTCACAGACAAGGTTAACAGTTCAATTTTAGCTAGAGGTAAAACTCTGTAATCTACAGAAGCATATGAATGTACGCGAAGCCCTGTGGCAAAGTCCATGTGATTAGAAGATCGGTATATAAAGAAGTTTCTGGAAAAGAGCTTCCTGATATGGAGAGTTGGCACTTGATGTGAGAGAAGCGGGGAACATACCAGAAATGGAGAGAAGGCGCACTAGTGGGTGATACAGTGAATATAAAAGGAAGCTGTAAGAAAGAAATGAACTTACTGAAATTAAATTGTATAACATTAACCAATCACGAGAAAGTCTGCCTATATGTATTTATTTTTTTAAAAAAAATACTGTAAATTAGTGTTAGGGTTATGTTAAAATATATACTAAAATTTCACAAGAAATTTTTTTTGTTAGAACGAAGAAGTTAGTTTTATAAGCGAAATTTCAAGATAAAAGCGATTTTTTAGAAAAACGATTAATTTTTTTAATTTGAACGTTACACACAGATCGTTCGTGTAAATTCGACGTGATGAACACTGATTGGATAAAAAGCGTGATTTCCAAATCAGACGGTGGGCACATAGGTTCAAAATTTTTTTTCAATCGATTAGTTGGTTAATGATTTTTCCAGTTGGTTGCAACTAATCGATTAATCGACGAGTTGCAACTAATCGATTAATCGACGAGTTGCAACTAATCGATTAATCGACGAGTTGCAACTAATCGATTAATCGATGAGTTGCAACTAATCGATTAGTTGCAACTAATTCATTAATAAGTAAATAAATAATTTTTCAATCGATTCATTTGTAACAATCGATAAATTCTTTAGTCGATTAGTTGCAACTAATCGATTAGTCGATTAATCGATTAATCGATTAGTTGGTGTCTAAAAAGTTCAATCGATTAGTTGTCAACTAACCAACTAATCGATTTTTCAGCTTTCGATTTGTAACACTAGATGTACCATATGTACCCAAGTTAGGTTTTTTTTTTTTTTTTTTAACAACCAAGGCGTTATTGTTGTAATACATACGCAATATCGTTATTTTTGAAACCGGATTTAAATCCGGATTATAATTTCATTCATTTAACGTTGTATATTCTTTTGACGATCATTCATCAATGATCAATGACAGAGCGGTTTTTTTCTATTGGCTTATCGATACATTATTTATTTATTAATTTACCGTTACGTAGCACAGCAGAAAAATTTGATGTGCCCTAAATCTCAATCACATATTTAGGGTTCAAAGCAAGAAAAATATACATAATAATCGTTTCGTCCATAGGTTATATGTACGTATAATTATGATTTATCATTTCGGCGCCGTGCTAAAAACACTTTTCCTTGCAGCAATATTAAGTATACTATTATACTATGTCCCACGATTCTTAGCACGCTTTATTGAGAAAAAGTTTAAAATACATGTAGGATCTTTCGGGTTTCTTTCATTATCAGATCTATCATACTCTGGAAGCTCTACTGGTTCACTACGCCAACAACATTCTTATAAGCTAACCGTCAGTCGAATACATTTACAAATACGGCGACCGTATAATGGATACAAGACGTGGGTTACACTCACTATCGATGATGTCAGTGTTATTTTGTCCTCAATACGGTTGTTCACTCAACCTCAGTCTCGAAAGCTTGATCGTATGCGACACCCAAGCTTGATTATGGCGGTACCACAACAAGCGTGGTGGTCCTCTGTTTGGGTGGTTAAATATATAATGGCAAAAATTTCAGCAATACCGTTTCAATTTGTCTTATCCTGGATAGCAACTTGTGTTGATGTGAATATCACTAATGTCGACGTATTAGTAGAAGATCTAGGTCAATTTAAAGTGAATGAAATAACTCTTGGAATGAATCTTTTCGCCAATGTTGATTTAAAACAAACGAATCCAAGCCATTTAAATTTTCTAGAATACTCCATCAGAAATAGACATCATTTATTTACAAATAAACTTCTCAAAACCACATTTTCTTATTCTTCTTTGTCTATTCGAGATATATCATCAACAAAACTATGTTCGAGTAACCAAAAAAACATACCATCAGTTATTGAGTTTCCACATTCTTCCACAATTATACTTTCTTTTTATCTTTCTGCTGCTTGCACGTCACTTTTAGCTTTTGACATTAATGCATTTTTTGGAGACATTAATGTATGTGTAGATTCAATCCTTCGTCTAAGCAATTCTATACAAGCAGCTATGCCGAAAAAAATAACAAAGGGTCCCACTGAACCCCAAAGCTTTGGTCAACCGCAGCTAGGTCAACGCAAAACATTCAAAATGGCATCCTTGTTACTAGTTCGTAGGATGCGAATGGCTCGTAGAAAGAAGACACCAATTGAGTTTCTTAAAACATCGAAAATCGACATCAAAAATATAAACATAACGTATGATTTTTCCAATTTGGAAAATACAAGTTCTGCGCCAATAAATGCCAAATTCACAATAATGGAGCTTTCTGCATCTCTAGAACAAGTGACTCAACAATTAGATGGGTCTGCGATAAATCCACCTCGAAAATCAACGTTTTCACTTTTTTCTGAAGATATACCCAACCCTTTAGAATTAAAAATGAATATTTTACTCAACGGTTTATATTGCGATGTTACTGATACTTCGGGAATGTTTAGAATGATGCAGATTTGTACAATCTCAAGTATGATGACTTGTTCAAAACCTTTAGTTCATACCGTTGAATATGATCCAAATCTTTTTTCCTTTACCGGAACATTGGATATTATTTCTCCAGAAATAGCGTTTAATTATGGCCATTTTGATGCTATTGAAAATATTGTAAAGTCTATTAATAACGGAGAGTTTAAAGGAAAACGAGTATTTGCTCAATCAAAGCCTACAGAAAAACAACAAAAATTGCAAAATATTCCAAAATTAGTTGCAACAGTATCTATTGTTAATCCACTTATAAAAGTGACTGAAATTCCATTATCTAGCGTCAAATCTGATTATTCGCAACTTACTTTTGGATTTCAAAACATTTTATTCGAAGTGAACGGGGATTATACCGATTTAAATGAATTGCCTGCGGCAAAACACAAACGTACAATGTCTAGGCGATACAGCAAAGGTTGGGTTCCTCCAACGTTCTCTATGGTATATAATTTAGTTGCCAATCTAAAGACCCAAAGAATGAGATTATACACGCTTGAAAATGACTTAATACTTAATCATTCTTGGGAAATTTGCTTCATTATGTCAGCCCTAGGTACTATCACAAGTTATATCAATAAAGAGAAAACAACAACATTTGCTCCATTATTGGAGTTAGAAACGATTCAACTAGATATCGGCTTGTTAATAGATGGAATGGAAATACAATCATGTTGTAAGAAAACCTTTGGATTGTTACAACAACTCATTAATACTGTGACTAACATAACTCCGATAAAGGAAGCAAGTTCAAACCACCCAGTTCATTCACCATCAGTTAATTCATCTCAACCGATAATAATGTATTCTGAAGCTTTGCTATTTCGTGTTTCCTTGTCTTCATTTGGCATAAGAATTGCTGAAGTTGACTCTCCGGTAGACTCTTCAACATCAAGAGGGTTTGACATACGCCTTCAAGGAATTACATTTGACTATAAAGGTTCTAGGGCTTCAATAGATCCGATTGGAGGATATAATGAAAGAATCGGTCTTGGACTCTCAACTGATGAAGATACTGATTTTCAATGTGAAACTGGTGGGACCGTTCGAGGATTTGCAAGAGGTTTCAAGGTAACACCTATTATGGCACTTTGGGACAAAGAGCTTTTAAAAAACACCGACCCATTGTTGTCCATTCCAGAGATTGAAGTTTCAAATAATTTGAGCGTTGAACACACACAGAATTATTTATCCAAGTTAAATGTGAAAGTTACAGAGATTTGTATAAAATATTCTTTATTATATCATTATTGCTGCCTGGTGGGCGTAATGAATGTAATGAAATTATTACCATTGTCTTCAAATAAGAAACATTCTAGCACAATACATTCGGCTTCAGTGTCAGAAGGCATTAGTTCGTTTAAAATAGAAGCAAATATATTATTAAACCATGTGAACATATTTGTCGATTTTCCGGATGATGTAAAGTTTTTCATAAGATTGGATGATTCAAAATACAGATTCGCATCTATTGACAATCACGAATTCGAAATAAGTTGTTTACGAGCTTTTGGTACAAGTCCAAGCGAAGAAGGATTGTGGGATCAGATTGCAAATATCAAAAATGCACATATTCTACTTTTAGAAGATGATACAAAACGGAATACTGCAAAATTACCTCTTGATAAGAGTCAAAATAAAATGATTTGCGTTCAGATAGAAGCTATTCATGTTCGTATTCCATACAACTATATTTTTGCTAATGTCATTGAAAGTGCTATTAACTCAGTTAAGGTAATAAAACATTTGCAAGAACGTCTCTTTGTTCCTGATGATATACATATCGTGGATCCGGAAGAGGAAGGGCCAAAGTATTTGCCAACTATTCAGCTCAAAGCCGGAGTTATAACTTTCCGAATAGAAGATGATCCGTTTGAATCAAAGCTTTCTGCTATTTGGAAACTCGGATATTTAGAACAACAGGCCAGATTGGGAAGAGAGACTGCATTTGAAGCAAAAGCTAAAGTTATTAGGTCACATGAATATCGTCAGAACACAAATGGGGAAGGTGGATTAGCACCAGATAACGCTAATGTGTCATCATTACAAGACGGTGGTAATTCCGAATCTCCGCGATTTGGTCCTTTCCGTCCTCAGCCTTCTCCACGAGCAAATTTGAGCGTCGAAGAGGCACGTGTTGTCCTCAACGAGTTCAATTCTCGGAGTTGGATAAAATGTGTAAAAACGTCAATATTACATCAAAAGTTCGAAGATCCATGTGATAGCCTACCTATCTCATTAGCTACACGGTCTCGGCATCCAGCCTTATTCAGAATTACCATAGAGAAATTTTTATTGGTTCTTTCTGCACCCTTGTTTCCAATGAACGAACTTCCCCATTATATGTATAAAATGGGTAAAGGATTGCCTTTGAATACAAAATTTGCTTTTTTAGTACCCATACATTTGAATTGCAAACTAAAAGAGGCTTGGGCTGAAATTCGTGATTACCCATTACCTTTGGCGCACATTCCTTCTGCCGATTCAATTAATGGTAAGGAGCAATATTCATGTGATATCGAAGGACATCTCGTAATTGGCGAAGAATTGAAGGGATTTGAGTCGATAAGAAGAATTAACGTACAAATCGCCCCGCAATCTATCGGTGATAATGATTATAATATCGTCGTACCCCGTACATGTTCACCTGTAAAATTATACTCTGATCTTCATATCAGCATAAGTTCATCGCGTCCTACTGTCGTTTCGTGGGGTATTGCAACACAACCTGCTATTCAAGATTTTGCAAAAATTTTTGAAAGTTTCGCAAAGCCAAGTCCGGATCCATCCGAAACCGTTGGTTTTTGGGATAAAATTAGGCTTATGTTGCACTTCCAGATATTAATGGACTTTAAGGGTAATAGTAATGTTCTATTTTTTTCAAAAGGATCGCGAGATCCTTACCTTGTTACTGGCTCAGGTGCTGGTTTTGTTTTATGTTGGAGAAAAAACGTAGAAGTTAGATTAGGATTTGCAAATGAACAAAATGAGCTGCTACAAATAGACAGTGAAGAGTTCATTGCGGCCATCCCTAACTTAACCGCTTTGGTTTCTTATGGGGGTCTAAGCCCTGATAGCACATTGTTTGAATCTAATGGAATACAACATGATGTTGCTAAGAATTCGGAAACAAGTTCAGTTAAAACAGAGAATTCAAGTGAAACACCATTTTCCGACAGTCCATATTTCAAATTCGTGATGAAAATTATGAATTTTTGTGGAGGCGTTAGGTATGGAGTCGGATGTCATTTTAATCGTAGTTGCAGCCTTAATTCGGGAGTGTGTTCAACTTGTAATGGGCAAGGAAAGTGTCGTTTTAAGGATTTTATTCCTCATTATCAAATAGCTACAATACTACCACAATATGCCATTGCACCAATAGGAGAAGTAAGTATAATGATAGTAATTAACCATTTTCATTTACATATATTTAATACACAAATATATCCTTATCGACATATAGGTACATGATTCTTTTAGGGGATTTCGATCAGATTGTATTCATCTGTCAGTAAGCGTTACCTGTCCATTAGATTGGGATGAGTCTATCGATTTGCGACAACACAGTAAATGTCATAATCCAAAGAATTCAATAAGGTCAAGTCCTAAAGCGATTATGCACGGATTATCTTGGGCGTCGTTATTCGATCCCGCAATGTCAATTCCAATTCGTCAAGGAAAATTATTCCCGTCCCTTACGCCACCATCTCTCAAATTTCCAAAATTTCTACAATCGATCAAATTAAAGATATGTGTGGGATCATTGTTTTTAAGTAGTTTTTATAGGGAAGAATCATTATACGATCCACTTGATGGTACAATAAATATGGTTGGAATCAAAGCAAAAATTGGAAGGTTTAAACAAGACATTCATCTTAAGATGCAAGAAAATACAATTATTTTGGAAGAGAAAGAAGTTAAGAGCCGTGATATAATTTTTCATGAAGCAGAGACCGATTTGAAAGATCTAGATGTTCGAGGCATTGCGGTTCGGTATATGGAAGGCGCGTTTCCTAAGTCCGATGATAATGAAATTTACCGAAAAGAATCGTTATTGGGTAAAGATGAAGACTTTTTGAAGATGAGTTTAGATGATGAACAGTGGATTGATGACGATGATTATGTTGAATTGGAATATAAATTACCCGAAGCAAAACCTGGAGTGAGAGTATTACCCTTTTTAAGAAGTCCGCAAATGATGTATTATAAGCGTGCTGATATTCAAGAAACTGAAGAAGAAAAGAAGAATGACCGGGCGACTCATGTGTGTCTCATGGGACAAGGAAGCGGTATATCATTATTTATTTATTTGATTTTATTGTTTTTGTAGAACATTATAATAATAATTTATTATGATAACTTACTTTTCAGACACGAGGCATATTCAATTAGATTTTCTTGCAGAACGATCAAATCAACTTAGTCGAGATATCAAACAACAAGCTAAATTATTGTCAGATATTGAAGATAAAATAATTAATAATCCTAACAATCAAGAACTCAAAGACATAGTAAGTTTACCATATTTCTACTCTAATTATATTTTTCTCATCAATGCTAACGATAATTGTCTCTAAAGTCTCAAACCATTCAAAAAGCTACTTCAACCCTTTCAAAAAAACGAAACATTATCCAAGATTTTATGAAAAAATTAGAAGAATACATCAACAAGCCTAAATCAAAAGATTTTAAAGATATAAATCCTGATTGTGATGATATTAATGAAATCCCTAGTTTTGATTCAATGTGGACAGATTCACAGGGCCAATTCGGTCATCGTATAGTTATTCATAACGCTAAGGCCATATGGAACAATTCTTTAAGGAACCTAGTTTATAGATTATGGGATCTTATCGAACAACACCAAGGACTTACATATTATATGTCAACGAGTGCTGTCAAATTTATTAGAGATATGCAGAAAAATATCCGCGAGAAAATGGAAAGAGAAATCTACAGGCAATCTCTGCATAATGAGACCTTATCTTCAGGCAATTTAGATAATTATGATTTTGATGCGAATGTAGCTGCTGAAATGTTACGAAAACTTGTTGGGGAAAAGGACACTAATTTTGTTGTTCAAAATGAGACAGCGCATTTTTCTGACGAGAATCATGCCGAAACATCGGAAAACGCACATGATGGTATTCCTGAAGGCTATTCTTTGTTGAAAAATTATTTAGTCCAATTTATAAATCTTCAGATAAATTTCCAATGTGACAAAAATCCAGGTGCTAGCATTATAATGTTTATGGAAAGAGCTCAGATTAAAATCTTTTCTATTGTGGAAGATTGGTCTAAAGGTGACATTATCAATGAAGTAGTAAAAACAAGAACTTTTTTTGGTTTGGACAATGCACAGTTCTTTACCAGTTTAAAAAAAGATTTCCGTACTAGCCTTTCAAGGATTTTGTCTGATAATAATTATGGTTCTAAAGGTAGTGAAAATTGGCCTGTTTGGGTTCCTCCTGAAGCATTGCTTGATCATTCCAAAGAAAATTTATTACCATTTCAAAGAATAATTAAGCGAACATCAGCTACAATGCAATATGATAAATTTAATAACTTACGTATCAAAGGCAGTGATATTAGAAAAGATGATTTAGAGCAGAAAACAGATAAGCCGGGACTTGGTGATTCCGATGTGGATGACTTTGACAAAAGAATGGATTCGTGGTACATAGATCTTCCTAAAATCAAGTTATCCGCCACATCTAAACAATATTGTATTTTAGTTGATGTTATCAAGGATTTGCTTATGTTCCGTGAACCAGCAAAAAAGGAGCGAGCAGAAAGACTGAATACAATCCTACTCGCAGCAGACTTGGATGATCTTGATGGCGTGGCAGAAAAAGTGGCATTGTTACAAGAGCAAATTCGTCAATTGGAAGATGTGCGAAACCAATATAAATTACAATTGCAAGATCTTAATGAAGATGATATTAAAGAACTACGAGAAGTTGAAATTGAATTAATAAGTTTCCAAGAACGGTTATATTTATTAATGGAGGCCATCACTGCGTCACAGAATAAAAAACAAAAGGCGGAAAGTAAAATGGCCTTAAAGGTAGTGGTAGTTGCAGATGAAGTCAAATGGGTGATGCGAGATAGCAATAGAAAATCGTTCTGTGAATGGGGTTTATTAAATGCACGGTTTGTTTTAATGACAAAGGAAGAGAACTCTATAAATACTTTAGAGATCGATGATTTGCGTGTAATTAACAAACTCCCATCGCCTGTTTTTAAGGAATTAATTTGTCCATATATCACGGATCATCGTCGCGTAGATTTTAGTCGCCATAAAATGTTGCGAGTATATTGGGGACAACTAGAACCGGTCGCTGGCATTGATATTGTTGAACATTTCGAAATTGATATGTTCCCACTTAAATTTCAGATGCAATACGATGTTGGTAAACTTATAATGATGTATATATTTCCAGAAAAAAAGAAAGAGTACGTTAATCGCGAGAAGTCTGTCGATTCCTCACATTCGATAAAAACGCCAAAATCTGCATCGGAATTTAATCAAGATGAAAATACTGATGAATTTATAGAAATGCCCTTAGATATTTTCTCGGAAGATGAAATGCCAAACACTTCAGATTCGACAACTCAGACAAATAAACATAGCACCAAAAAGTCGGCACAAAAGTCGACAAGCACGGAACATCATAAAGATGAATCACATGAATTAGAGTTAATGAAGAAAAGGGCATCTCAGAATAAACAGTTTATATACATAAAAGTTCCAGGAGTAATACACAGTTTCAGTTATCAGGTTTGTCTTTAAAATGCAAATATTATATCTTAAACTTTTCAAATGACTAATTTATCATATAATTTATAGGGGGCAAAAGAAAAAAATTTAGAAGATTTGTATGATTTTGTTATTCACATGCCTACATTAGAGTATCAGAACAAGACATGGTCATGGTTGGATTTTATAGAGCAATTGAAAAAAGGTACGGATATATTCAAATATTTAAATTATTTTATCATTTTGGTAATCGTATTATTGATTTTATATTTTTTTAGACGCGCTTCGAACTATTCTCACTCACGCTACAGCATTACTTAAAGAAAAATTGAACCCTTATCAAAAACGTAGACCCATAATATCCTCAGATCAATAAAGTTTAGAACCGGGCTATAGTAAACCGGGTCACCCGTGTCAAAACGGTTCAACGGTTGAATATGTAACCTCTAAAATCTGTTACTATTATGCAGAAAACAAATTATTATTGTATTGTTAATAAATACCCTTTTTTTTTGCTAAACGCTATGTATATATATATTTATTAGATTAGTTATATTAACCACATACGGTATAACATTCTTGGGACATGTTTATATTTAAAAGATTCGGGAAATATATTTATTCGTGGAATAAGGAGCTTAATAAAATTATCAATTTTTATAATTTATAAATTCGTAGTACGTTTATCGTTATTAGTGTGTAGCCTTTTTTTTTTTTTTAAAAAAAAAAAAGCTTAATCATTTAACCGTTAAATTCTGAAATGTGGCAATGAGTGTACGTATTACAACTTCTATCAATTCTTACAATTCCTGAATATGACATTATATGTGAGGTAAGTGGATAAGACTATTAACATATGAGAAATTGACAAATTTTTTTGCATAAATTAAGATCATTTTTCATTTAAACACAAAAGTATGTATTAATAAAATTTTGCAGTATAGCTCTTTAAAGTTTACATTTTCTTATGATTTATTATAAGATTTATAACAATTGATTTTCCGAAGATCTCAGCACCTAGTAATATAGGATAGTTTAGTATCATTAAATATTTATTCGAAGCACAAATTTTTGTATTTTTTACATATTGTCCAGTTAATAACCACCCAGTCGATTTTATCTTGTTAATAATAATCAAGCGATAAGGAACGATAAAATCGACTATTAGTCTACTAATCGACTATAATCAGTTGAACGACTGATCGACTAATCGACTAGTTGGACTCGATGGCTTAACGAGGGTAAACCAAGCTACTTATCAACATTAATTGCCTCCAACTAATTCGAATAATCGAATAATCAACTAGTTAACTGACTCTATTATAATTACTGCGATTTGCAAAATTTTGTAAAGTTTGCAGATCAAAAAAAAAGATTTTCTTTATATATATATTTTTTTAAATTTTAATACAGTATTATGTAAATTTTTATAAAAGAAGTAATAAACTCTAATTTTAACTTATTAATATTATTAATAAGTTAAAATTAGAGTTTATTATATCTTATAAAAATTTATATAATATTAAAGTTTAAAATTTAAAAAAAAAATATATATAAAAAATTAGAAATCAGAAATCACTAAGGTTGCTTGCTTGTAAATATTTTAATAAATAAATATGTTATTGTCAGTTAAGGCAAACAAATATATTATTTGACTTAATGTATAATAGTGGTTAAGAAATGTGTTTAAACAAGAAAAATAGAATTAAAGTCTAAACTAAACAAAAATAGGATATTCTATAGAATAGGTGGGCAATATAAGAAATAAGCTTTGCTAATGATTAGTAATTATTAATTTTTTAATATCAGAGTTGCAGAGTTTGTGGAGTTTGCGGAGTTTGCAAAGTTTGTCTACCTATTCTATAGAACATCCAATATTATAAAATAACCAAACTATAAATCAAAAATTAGAGTTGTTCTTTCTATTTTACTTGCCTTTGAATATTTTAGCATCCAAATTCCTTTTATAATAAAATTTACTTGAGTATAAACAAAAATATCAAAAAAAAAAACAATAAAAATATTATAAAAACACTATAAAAATACTATACAAAATAATAACAGTTTATTATTAAGAAAATACAAGATAATAAGACTTTATCACAAGCATATAATTAAAACTAAGTGTTAAAAGGATGTGGCGACTTAGTGAAGTTGGTAAGTTGTCACACCTCCAAGCAGCAGAACAAGAGTTTGAATCCCACTGGTAACGAAATTCAGAATTTATAGAATGTGTTACGGTATATTGTGTGACATCCTGAGGGGTGGTAGCATTTGTAACTTTGGTTGTACCAGCTTGTTTTGGAAGGCTATGTAATGCACAAGTTATTCAACCATGTAAATCCAAGGCTTAGGCCTATGGTATATGGAAGCCTGCTTGGCAAGTCTTGAGTAGAGAGGTAGCACAAATCTTCGATGATACTATATAAAGAAAAATCATTGGCAAACCGAATACTGGCAGTAAACTGGATAAAGATCAGATGTTTGGTAAACACTAATACCAATCAGGCTGCCAGACTAGCCGGAGGGAAAAGGATTCATTCAGAAATACCAGGAGACACCCACTGGTTCCTTCCAGGCTATCTGGATTGGGTGTTTGGGGAGCTGTTGGTGACTAGAAAAGTTGGTAATGGTTTGTAAAGAGGATACTGGGGTTTGGGTAAATTCTACAAGGGTAGAAGTAGATAATGGTAGCAGCTTTGGCTCGCAAATACTTATTCTCAGACTCAGTATAAGTTACTGAAGCTTAGATTAGCCAGATTGTGAGTAGAAAGAACCTAGTAAGGCTGCCACTATGCCTACTTGTAAAGACCTATGGGTAACCAATGAGGTAATCAAGTCTAGGTAAGATAGTAGAGGGCACTTTGGTATAAAAGTACTTAGCTTAGAATAATTGGTGGATATATATAACTAGGATTTCCCTGTTGTAATACTAAAAAATATAGACTCATGTAGTTAATGATAAATATCAATAAAGCTTAGTCCTGAAGGATACCTTATTAAAAAAAAATAAAAAAAATAAAAAATAAAAAAAAAACTAAGTGTAAATATATCTAAAAATAATATAAATAACTAAAGAATAAGATGTGAAGTATACTTAATATCTCTTTACTTTAGAAAAAAACTGAGTTTAAATATCTTTTAATAATAGAAATAATTTATTCACCACCTAGATGAATTATTTACTCCCTTCATCATTTTTTTAAAAAATGATTGAACTTAAGAGTTGAGTGTATTATATATAAAATTATATAAAGAATCTTTTTTGTTAGAATTTGAAGAGTGGTTTTTTATAAGCAAAATAGTAAATATTAATGATTTTTAAAAAAATTTTCTTTTTTTGTTATACAAAGATGATTTATATATTATATATATTATACCTGATTTTGCATATTTATTAGATAATCTTAGAGGGTAGTAATATCAAATCTCTTCTTGGGTGAGAATAAATATACTTTTAATAATATTTTAATACTATATAATAACTAAATATATTAATAAAATTATTTTAGATTTTGGAATATGAAATTAATATTTGAAGATGAAATTGTTTTAGATCTATAATATTTTACTTAAAAGTTAAAATTTTTTGATACTTTTTTTGAAGAGATAAAATTATAAAAAATATAATTATATAAATTAGATTTGTTTTTTTTATAAAAATTTTAATTTGCTTTAATAAAGATGAAATAATTTTTTTTTAAAATCTATTTTGATAATTTGTATTATAATAATAATGCTATAGAATGTAGTAACTTAGTGTAGTTGGTTAATTGTCACATCTCCAAGTAACAGGATAAAAGTTTAAATCCTACCAATGATGAAATTCAAATTTATAAAATGCATTAGATAAACTGTATCCTATTAGGTCTATATCTGTAATATAGTTATATCAGCTACTAAGAGGTTGTAAAACTATAGTGTGATATATAAGTTACACAAAATTTAAATGAAGCAGCTATGTAAAATTAACAAATTAAAAATACAAAAACCTGCTTAGCAAGATTTAAATAGAGAGGTAATACAAATTTTTTATATAAAGGATTATTATTCAGAAGACTAAAAAAACTGAATAGAATTAAAGTGTTTAGCAAAACCCTCCATCAACCAGGCCACCAAATAATCAGAAGAGAAGATTATTCTTTTAGTCTATTTAAATTAGAAGTTTGAGAAAATAGAGAAATAGTTTAAAGTCTATATAATAAGTATTGAAGTTTAAGTAACTTTACAAAAACAGAAGTAGATAACAGTATTAGCTTTAGCTTAGAAGTACTTGTTTTTGAACTCAATATAAGTATTTAAAGTTTAGGCTAGCCAGATTATAGGTATGAAAAGCTTTAGCAATGATGCTTTGAAGATAAATTAGTTCTAAGAGTTTTAGAGAAAGCATCTGGGACTTTTTAACTGATTATTGTAATAGAAATATATTGGTAATACAAGTTTGGTTGTATTACAGAAAGTTTAAATAGATAATCTTCTAGTTGGGTTGTAGATATAACAGCTAGTATAGAACCTATAATGAAAATTATAATGCAGACTACTTAAATAGACAATCAAAAGTTGTATATATGACTAGTTATATTCTCTAATATAAAGAATTTCATAGTGAGCCCTTCATCTAAATATTTAAATAAAAACTTTAAAGATCAAATATAGTATAGGTTACCCCTTTTAAAAAATTATTTAATTTATTAATTTTATATAGTTATTATATTGTTTTTTTTTAATATTAAGGTGATCACTTAGAGGTCTGACATATTTTATTAATTTATGATTCGAATATCAAGATAACTACTATGTGAGTATTCCTGACTTTATTATATTAACAAAAGTATTACTATTCTAATTAACTTAGCACTGTTAGATATTTACTCTGAAAAGAAATTGCTATAAAAGCCTTTTAGGACTTTAAAGTGAATACACACTACTATATTAGAGAGTTCTTTATCCTTGTAATAAACCTACTAGAGCAGTCTATGTCCTATATATATATCACATAGATTTTTAGTAACTTATGTCTAGGCTGTGGCCAAATACTTGTGGCTTTTTATCTTTGCTATCATTTCCTACTTCTTGTTCTTGCAAAGTTTACCAAAACCTCAGTACCCGCTTTACAGACTATTAACAGTACTTCGATACTAACCATTGGTGTTTCAAACTTCTAATTTAGATAGTCTTAGAGGGACTAGTAAGCATCCCTGATATTCTGAATGAATTCTTTTTCCTCTGGTTATCCTGCAGCCTGGTTACAGTAATGCTTGCCAAACACTCAGTCTTGTTCAATTTGCCTTTAGTGTGGTTCTCCAGATAATAATCCTTTATATAGGCTGTTAAAGATCTGTTATTTCTCTACTCAGAACTTTCCAAGCAGGCTTCTGTATCTTCTAATTTCTTGGATTTATTTGGCTGCTTCATCTAGAATTTGTGTAACTTATATATTATACTATGTTCTATAACCTCTCAATATAAGTTGATAAGACTAGGGTTACAAATGCTGATCTGATTGATATATTGTAATAAAATTTACTAAAAACTAACAAGCTTTAGCAAATTTTAAAAACACAAGTGTCAAGTGGAAGATCTTTTATTTAAAAGAAATGAAAAGAAAGATAAAAAATAAAATAATAAACAGGATTTAAATTCAATAGCCTCCTAGATACTATAAGGAGTTAGCAATAGGCAATTGTGTTTAGGATCGAACC